CTGTCATTCCTGGGACACATTGTTTCTCTCTGGTTCTCCCTAGTCTCTGACTCCTAGAATCTTTCTGTCCCCTCTTCTACAATGGTCCCTGAGCCTTGGGAATGGAATGTGATATAGATGCTCCATTTGTGACTGAGCATGTCCCTGACATGTATTTTCTATATTTTAAGTTGTGAGTTTCCACATTAACCAGCATCCATTACACAAAGAAACATCTCTGCTGGAGTGTGGGACCTGATCAATCTAAGGGTTGAGAGGGCACTTTGATGCTATGCCCATTTAGCAGAGAAGTACTAGTAGACTTGTCCCTGGGACCCGAGTCCCTCACCAAATATGAGTTCTTGGACACAGTTGCAGTACCAAGCATGTGCTTCCTTCCTCAGGTGGCATGAGCCTTAAAGCCACTTAGAAAGCAGTTGCTTGCTTCCAGATTTGTGTCACCATTGCACCCATGTGCATGTCTTGCCATGAGGTCACTCTTGCGGTTCACAGAGCTGGCAGCTGGGTAAACTGATGATGACGTTTCTGCTACCATCCTGCACAGCACCTTCACTAGTAGTAGGAAAACTAGCCCATAGGTGGAAAGTTTCTAGGTCAGTGCCACCTTGCTTTCTTCATGTCCTGTGACCAGTGTGCATAGCAAAGAGACCAAATCTCAAGTGGTCTGAGGAGATGCTATGTAAAATTGGTACCTAAGAGAAAAATCTTACATTTTTGCCTCACGTGCCTTGAGAGGATGAAACTCAAGGATTCCTTAGGTGCCATATATTTGCCTGTCCTAAGAGAGTCATTAATTAATAAGTGTTTGCTGGATACATGTTCTTAAGTACTAGATGTAGATAAACACAGTCAACATGATCATGGTAGTTTAATTGTATGAGATTAGGGGGCAGCTTTTTTCTGAAGCTGTAAATCTATCTGGCCTCCTCCTAGTTATGAATGTATAATAATAAACAACAAAATAGTTTAAAAATTACAAATAATGATTCTTTAAATTTTAGGTTTTGTTTGAGTAATTTTTCTTGCTAAATAAAAGAAGGAGGCCAAATGGAAGCAATCATTTGTCATCACTGACTTAAAATGAAGTAGAAGATACTTAAAGATATTTGACTCATGAATCTCTGATAGGCTTTTCATTCATCAAAGTAGTGTCAAGAATAGAGGAAATTGGGTCTACCTGTTGCAGAGGCCTTTTACTACAAAACTTATTTTTATATATTTTAATGATACTATAATTCATTAGATTAAATACCCATTTTATATATTATGAAAAGTATTTAAATTTCTGAAAGACCATAAAAAGTAAGAAACTGTTAGTTCAAAAGTTAATGACTTTCAAATATATTTTTCAAAGATATATTTTATTTTTAAATTTAAATTTAAATTAGAAACAAGGTTGCTTCACATGTCAATTACAGGTCCCTCTCCGTTTCCCTCCCCTTCTCCGATGCCCTCTCCCCCCAATATCCCCTCATTTCCCCAGGGAGAATGAGGCCCTCCATGGGGGTGTCCATAGTCTGTCATTTCATCAAGGACAGGGCCTGGATGCTCCCCCAAGAGTTCAGGGCGAGAGTGCATCTCTCATTGTTGGATGGGAGTCCAAAGTCCATGTGTATACTCGGGATAAATACTGATCTACTACCCAAGGCTCAATAGATTACCTAGGCCTCCTCACTGACACCCACATTCAGGGGGTCTTGATCAGTCCCATGCTGGATTCCCAGGCATCAGTCTGGGATCCAAGAGCTAACCCTTGTCAGGTCAGCTGTTTCTGGGGGTTAAACCAGCCCAGTCTTAATGCCTTTGGTCGTCAGTCCTCCCTCTCTGTCACTGGATTTCTTTTTTTTTTTTTTTTTTTTTTTTTTTGGTTTTACGAGACAGGGTTTCTCTGTATTGTTTTGGAGGCTGTCGGTCCAGCCCGGCCTTGAACTTACAGAGATCCGCCTGCCTCTGCCTCCCGAGTGCTGGGATTAAAGGCGTGTGCCACCACCACCACCCGGCCTGTCACTGGATTTCTTGAGTACAGCTCAGCGCTTAGCCGTGGGAGTCTGCCTCTTCTTCCATCAGCCACTGAATGAAGGTTCTGTTTCCCAGACTCCCTGGCCATGGGATTGTAGGCTGGCACTCCCCAGATCTATGTCTAAAATGTATATATGATAGAGCACATGCCATGTTTCTCTTTTTGTGACTGGGTTACCTTGCTCAGGATGGTTTCTTCTAGTGCCATCCATTTGCCTGCAAATCTCAGGATTCCATTGTTTTTTCTGCTGAATAGTACTAAGTATTCTTAAAATCATCCTGTTGGATAAAACCTGGATCCAGATTAAGTGTTTCTTGTTGCTGTCATGTTTGGTGATGTTACCTGCACGTGCTGTGCCTTACCTGCACAAATGGAGAAGTGCCACCCTCTAGTTGTTGAAACAGCTGTCTTCAGACAGCAGTATCTTTTACTGCAGACTCTTCCTTTCAGAATTGTGCTGGCTGGTTTTGTGTCAACTTGACACAGGCTAGAGTCATCTGAAAGGAGGGAACCTCAATTGAGAACATGTCTCCATAAGATCCAGTGGTGGGGCATTTTCTTAATTAGTGACTGATGAGGGGATGGGCAGCCCACTGTGGGGAGAACCATCCCTGGGCTGGTGGTCCTGGGTTCTGTAAGAAAGCAGGCTGAGCAAGCCATGATGAGCAAGCCTATGGGCAGCACCTCTTAATGGCCTCTGCATCAGCTCCTGCCTCTAGGTTCCTGCCCTGTGTGAGTTCCTGTGCTGACTGCCCTGTGTGAGTTCCTGTCCTGACTTCCTTCAGTAATATACAGTGCTGTGGAAGTGTAAGCCAATTAAACTCTTTTTCTCTCCACATTGCTTTGATTGTGGTGTTTCATCACAGAAATGATAATCCTAAGACAAGAACTTTCATATATTCTTATTTTGGTGTTCAGTGCTGTTATTGTGGGGAGCTGTTGAGAAGCACAGACACCTGTATCAAATGCTGAAAGCTCCTTCTGCTGCTGTGTGTGGGCTCTTTAAGAGCAGGAACCACTGGTGTCCAGTGTATGATGTGGTTATATATTACTGGAGCTTAGCCAGCCAAAATTGTAATAGTAATTAATCTGCCAATAATGGAAGGAGCATATTCTTCTATTTGATAGATTCAGGAAACTGAGAATCAAACTGTGTTTTTAACTATTATTTTTATTTTGAACACAAGAACCATAAAAGCAGCTGGGTAAGGCAAATGTAACTTTGAACATGGTCAGTGTAAAGGATGGATACTTTGTGAGAAACTTCAGTTGTGATTTGGAGAAACAGTTGGACCTTTCTGTTGCAACTCTGTCTCTTCCCTAAAGCTCATCATGGTTATCTCTGCTTCATTCTTTCTCTTTCAAATTCCTCGAACTTAGCCTTCAGCTTTCAACATAGGCCCCGTTTCTGCCCAGTGGGTATTGGTGGGTTTTAGACCCTGGGCTATAACAAGTCACAAGCGATTAATGAAGTTACATTTCTTCTCATGCAGCAGTAGGGTGTCTGGCTGCAGGCGAGTAGTTTGAAGGCTTCACAGCTATGCAGAGAGATATTCCAATTTTCCCTTTTCAAACTAAAATTTGCTACCATAGCTAGTGAATCATAAGATTGTGTGGCTCTTGGAGAGGTATGTGTGCAGTATATGTGTGCTCAATGGCTGTTGAGAGACACTAGCAGGAATGCTTGTTTAAACCACAGGCACATTGCAGTGTCTGTATTTCCTGTGGTGTGCTCAGGTGAGCCACATTTCCACTGTAAGGTACAGCTTTTGAAAGAAGCTGCCATGTCCATTGTGCATGCTAAGTGGGAAGGGAGTGAAGCAGTGACCTAAGTGTCATCCCCTTGGAGGGAATCCGTGCTTCACAATTGGGTTATATACTCACTGCCCCGACACATGTGAGTTACTTTGTGAATGTCTATTTAATGGTGCTTAGTGGTTCTCAGTAAAATATTTGTTGAGTTGAAATGAAGAAGTAATTAAATGGACAGGACAACTTAATTTGCATAGGATTTCTTTTTTGTGACAGATGCTTGGTGTGTTTTCATGGGAGTGGAGAACATTATCACTTTTGCAAATGCCATCAATCTTTAATAATCAAAATTCCCTTGGCAAGAAAAGTGGTGTAGCCATACAGAATTGTGGTTATTATTACATTGCATTATTTACGGTAAACCTGGTTCAATATTGGTAAATAGACTGCAGTGGAAGCTGAACTGTTGAGAGATATCTGGGCATCTGTCCAAGATATCATTAAAATACTGCCTCAGATTCATTGGGTTTGTGAATAACACCTTAACAGCTCAACTGAAAGTGAGCCACATGGTACAGTTGAAAATTCCGAGTCCACAAGATAAGGAGAGCAGTGTAAATGTGTATGACACACTCTACAATCTATATTTGAGTAATACATCTCTATATAACTTTGTGTTAGCCTTTAAACTATTAGTTCCAAAATGATTTGAAGTGTACATAATACTTTGATTAGTTGTGAATTTGAATGCCTTATAAACGAAAATATTAATTGGTCTAATAATCAAATCTAAAGATTAAGTAGAAGTAGAAACTTCTAAACAAGTATTAACACTGATGCTGAACACGTTTTGAGCTGTGGGGATACATAGGTGGGTTAACAATATTGTCCACCAAAAACTTCAAAGGTAATAAAATCCAACCAATTCATCTATTTTATTAATGAAAGAAAATTTTACCTTTGAATGGAACTTAGGAGTTATTAGTTTTTGGTTTTAAACTATTGATTATGCTAAGTACAACAAAGATATGTTTGAATAAGTGAGATGATATAAAAATATGTGCTTATTTTTTCTTTCTAAATATTGACACATTCTCATTTAAAGGGTGTGGGCAAAGGTTTATTTTCTGTCACTATTAGTGTATAAGTGTCTTTGATATAGAATGATGTGGATAAAACACATCTTAAATGTCCTCTTCTCAGTGAATGTCTTCTCTCTGTTTTCCAGGTTAGCGCTCTACGTATATGAATATCTGCTCCATGTAGGAGCTCAGAAATCGGCCCAAACATTTTTATCAGAGGTATGTTTTGTGTGTTTTATGCATTACATTTACTACATAAATGAATGAAAAAATATACAGAATTATGATTTCAAGAGTTGTTATATAGTAGGTTCAGGTATCATCTTGTATAATCTTTGTAGATTTTTTTTTTTTTTTTTGGTTTTTACGAGACAGGGTTTCTCTGTATTGTTTTTGAGGCTGTCAGTCCAGTCTGGCCTCAAACTCACAGAGATCCGCCTGCCTATGCCTCCCAAGTGCTGGGATTAAAGGCGAGCGCCACCACTGCCTAGCAATCTTTGTAGATTTTTATGAGAGCATTTGTAGTATCACAAAACACTTTCTGCGCAAGTCGATAAAAATTTAATAAACTTTCTAGCCATTAATTCCCTTAGAAATTTCTCTGAGCATGGCAATAATAATCCAGAAAGTAAGTTTGCTTTAGTTTCTACCAGGTCCAAGGAGATGGCTCAGTTAGTTTAATCTCCAGAATGTACATATATCAAAGTCTGATTGTGGTGGTGTGCCTTCCCATTCCCAGTACCATGAAGGTGAAGACAGGCAATAGACCAACCAGCACAGCCTGCTCATCAAAGTCCAGGCCACAGAGAGAGTCTGTCTCAGGAAAATGTAGATGAGCACCAGTGAGATGGATCTTTGGGTAAAAGTTCTTGTGGACATGCCTGATGACCTGATTTTGATCCCCAGGACAATACTGTAGAAGAGAACAGATTTCCTCTAAGTTGTCCTCTGAGCTCCACCCAAATGCCATGGTGATCATAAGTCCAGTGCACCTGTGCATGCTCACACATGACACACGTGTGTGTATACATTAAGCTTCTTTCCTGCACCATTAGCTTTGTTTACAAGTTTGGTAATGTGGGTTTGGTTGAGTAAAAGTTGGTTGTTTTGAAATGTTTTTGAAAATCTTATTTCAAGCTCTTGATAGTCTCTCTCTCCTCCACTGTTCTGGTTTGACTTTGTTGTTGGAAATATGCCTACCTCAGACTTGGCTGCCACACCTGCCTCCCGAGTGCTGAAATTACAGGGAGGCGTCTGCTCCTCTTTCCCTTTTTCCCGCTTTGAATCTGAGCTTCCTTACAATGGAACTCTGCTTTTCTTCTCTAATCTAAATTATGATAAGGATAATGAAGATGTTGAATTCTGTCATGCAGTAGGCACATCATGTACCAAGGGGTATTACATTTAATAATGTAATTTTAAGAAATTTACAGGACATATCATATTATTGCTGTTTTATTAATTGGACAGGTTAATGAGTTATGGATCTAAAATTCAAATCATCTATGTTATTTCCACTGTCATTGGTCTACATTTGTTGTGTGTTCAGGAAACCCATTGTTGGTGTTGCTTCACTTGAGGGATAGCTTCTTGTGAGTCCTTTACTCTCATCTAGTGTATGCATTAACACACAGGTGAAGCAGTCAAATCTATGACCCTAAGGTGACTATTCTGATTCAAACCGCCACAACACAAATAAGGAAATCGAAGAAAGCACCTCCCATGTTCGTGGATGGTCAGTATCAGCATAGTGGAAAATGGCCATATTATCAAGAGCAATCTTCAGAAACAATGCAGCCTCCATCAAAACACAATAAAATTCTTCACAGAAATAGGAAGAAATGCTAAAATTCACATGAGAGCATATGAAATTCCAGGTTACAATCTTGGGAAAAAAGAACAATGCTGGGGATATTGAAGCACCCAATTTAAGTTACATTACAGGTCTGTAACGTGAGGTTTTCCTTGGCCCAGCTGGGTCCTGCCATCCTCTGCCCCAAAGAAACATGTAGATGCTATATTAGTTATAATACTGTTGGTCTTTATCTAAGGTTTCTTATTTGCTAGCCCAGTCTTAATTATTTACCCGTTTCTAATAATCCATATATTTCCTCGTGGTGAAAAGGTCTGGGCTCTTGGGGTCTACATTGTGTTTGCTCAACTTCTCCACAGAGAAGAGGAGAGGAGGGGAGGGGAGGGGAGAGGAGGGGAGGAGAGAAGAGGAGAAGGAGAGCGATTTCCTGTTTGTCCCTGTTTATATACTGATTCTGCCCTGCTGTGTCACTTCCTGCCTGGATCACATGGTGACTTCTCTTTACTACATTTCTCAGAATCCTCCTCGACTCCTAGTCCCATCTTTCTTGCTTTGCTGTTGGCCAACAGTGCTTTATTCATCAACCAATAAGACAAACATATACACAGAAGACCATTCCCCATCTCAAGACTGTGGTAATAGAAACAGCATAGAGTTAGCACCAAAAGAAATATGGAGTTCCATGAAATAGAGCACCCAAAAACCAAAGTCCTGAAGCTGCAGCCACTGCTGTGTGACAACCATGTAAAAACACACGCTGAGGAACAGGAAGCTTTTCCAAAAATGGTGCTGGCAAATTGATTCCATCCGCAAGAAAATGAAACCAAACTCCTCTTAACTCTGTGCACAGATCGGTTGCAGATGTACCTGAGACCTGAAATGTCACAACATGGAAGTATCAGGAAACTCGATCATTGTCATTGATAAGTTTTCTGTAAAACTCCACAGCGCAGGAAATAGTACCCAAGAATTGCCAAATGCAGTTGCATGAAATGAAAGAGCTGCTGTGTAGTAAATATTCAAGTGAGAAGACACCTTGCAAACAGGAGAGATCCTGTCTAGCTGTACACCCCACAGTGATTAACATCTAGAGGATATGAAGAACTCAAAAAAATTCAACACTAAAAGATTCCCAAACATCTCTATCATTGAACAAGCTAATGAGATGAATATTCCAGAAGGTGAAGCACAGATGGCTAGTAATAAGAAAAACTGTCTCATGCTTAGTAGTTAGGAAAGTGTATGTGAGAACTACCCTGGAATGCTGTTCACCATGTAGTGCCTAAAACCAAATTCTAGTGAGGATGTGGGTAAAAAGGAACTATGGAAATTTCCAGTCACTATGGAGATCACTGTGGAAGTTTCTCACAAAACAAAAAAAATACCATATGACTCACTGCATATCTCCTCTGGGTCTGTATCCATAGGATTCTAAATTGGTGCACCACAGGTATATTGTACATCCATGTTTATTATAGTACCATTTGTTTAGGTGTCTACAGACAGAGGGATAAACAAAGAAAATATGGCAATATGCACAGTGAAATTTTATTCAGCGATAAACATAATTTTGCAATTTTCTTGGTAAATGGACACAACTTGAGATCATCATATTGAGTAAAATAAACCAATCTGAGAAAGGTAATATGTTTTCTTTCATTTGCAGATCCTAGACTTAGTGTGGGTTACATAAAAGTGAACACCCACACCCATACACACCCACACACCATGGAGGCAGAAGGGAGGCTGGGTAAGGACTAGTAGGTGGGGGAGGGGAACGGGATGACAGATATGGTCAAAGTATGGATATACCTGAGAGAAGCCCAGCATTACCTACAGTGAGTGTACACTGTCAGAGAAGAGGGGGAGAGGGAGGGTTTCAAAAGGTTTTCTCCCTAGTCGTAGACCTTCACATATAAAAACATTATGTTTATATATTTATAACTGTTCACAAATGCAGAGTATACATCTTCTTAAGTGTTCTGAACTTAGAAATGGGAGCTTGGGCTGTGTTTGTGGTATCACTTTGCTGAGTGCATGCTAGAGTTCTTCTTGGTTTTCTTTAAGGGATTTGTTGATCTCTTCCAATTTTTTGTTTGTCTTCATTTCATCAAGGGAATTTTTCATTTCCTCTTTAAGGGCCTCAATCATCTTCATAAAAGTATTTTAATGTCAGTTTCTTCTGCTTCATCTGCACTGGGATGTTCAGGTTTTGTGGCTGTAGGACCACTAGTGTCTGGTGGTGCTCCATCTGCACTGGGATGTTCAGGTTTTGTGGCTGTAGGACCACTAGTGTCTGGTGGTGCTCCATCTGCACTGGGATGTTCAGGTTTTGTGGTTGTAGGACCACTAGTGTCTGGTGGTGCTCCATCTGCACTGGGATGTTCAGGTTTTGTGGTTGTAGGACCACTAGTGTCTGGTGGTGCTCCATCTGCACTGGGATGTTCAGGTTTTGTGGTTGTAGGACCACTAGTGTCTGGTGGTGCTCCATCTGCACTGGGATGTTCAGGTTTTGTGGCTGGAGGACCACTAGTGTCTGGTGGTGCTCTATTGCTGTTTGTGTTGTTGAGTGTATTCTTGCTGTCTTCCCATCTCTTCCTCAAATCAGTACAGGTGGAGCCTGTGCTGTGCTGTGGCTCTGTTGAATGCTCCTTCATGTGCAGGCAGGGCTGAAACTCCAGTGATTCCTAACCCTAACCCTCGCCCTCACCCTCCTAATGCTCCAGGTATAGGTGGGCTCAAGGCTCAGATGGTCTCTCCTCTCAGTGTAGGCAGGGTCTCGACTCTGGTGATGGCTCCAGGCTGAGGCTCAGGTGATGGGACAGTTTTTGGCTGTCTCTGCTGTTGCTCTGGACTGCCTTGGAGCTCACACTATCTCTCAGTGCGCCCAGAAGTGCTTTTTAAGATAGTGTCTGAAGCTGCTGCGGTCAGTGCTTCTGGGCCTCTCACTTGGCCGCCAATGCTTTCTCTCCCTTTCCCTGCTTCCCGGCCCCTCGCTCAGCCACTGACACACTACACTCTCTTTCCCTCTCCCGGTTCTAGAGTTCTTGATAATTTCAGATGGTTATAATTCAGTACCTTTAGTTTTATTCCCTCACATTGTAAGTGTCTGCAATATCTAATTGTTTGGGTCTATTGCGTGTACCATACGGTTCTGTATGCTGGGCAGTGCTCAGTGTTGTTTACTCTGCCTTTAGGTACATAAACCCTTCTCCTCTTATGTACCTAAAAAACTGAGATGTTACCATTCACAAGGAAGGCTTTTTCAGGGCTCTCTGTCTTCAAGCTGTTACTGCAGACGGCACGGGCCCATACAGGAAGACCATTACCTACTTCTGTAGGAAGTTTTCACACTGTCTTCTTGAGGAAAGAGCCTATGGAAGTTTAAAGTAAAGGAACACCATTA